TTAAGGAGTCTAAGGTTGGTAAAGATTCTGGACATGTTTCTCCACAGAGAAGAGCCAACCAGTTTTCAAGTGAGGATGATAATTGTTGACTCTAGGTTAAGAGTAACCTGGTTAACTTCATATGGTTTGAACCGTTGGGAAGCATAAGTGATATCCCGTCACACTACATCGGTACGTAGCCAAAACATTTAGTGGAACATCATAGTATATTTCAAAATAATCGGTGTCATCAAAAAGCATACGAACAATGGTCAAAACAAGACAACACCTTAGTTGTCACAACTTTATTCATATTCCACGTCTTAACTAAACTGATTTTTCTCAATCAACATAAAAGGAAAAACACCACCACTGAAAAGTCACTAACAAACTGCCCATAAAGTCAACAAGGCCAAGGATACCGCATATTTCACAACGATTTGTGGAATACGAATTTTTCTATATTTGCAACCTTTTTGTAAATTGATAAGAATGTCGTCTGCTGAGATCACGTCTCTCAAGAAAAGTACCAATCTAAAAAAGGTAATATTTGAGGAATTTGGAATAAAGTTGACTGTCAGTGTTTAGAGAATTTGTTCTTACTACCGAAGTAGATAAGAAATTCGTCGATAAGATCACTACGAATTCATCAAGCTATGGGAGAAAACTTAAGTTCCAAAAGTTGGTCAGGTAGATCATCAATTCAAAGTATGGGTTAATGATTTTAATCATCACCCGATTAAGTTGCTAAAATCTAGGTACAATCCTAAGGTTTGGCCTTTCGCCTTCGAGGATAGGTTTGAGGTTCCCTAGATTAGGTGTTTGGTTGGATAAAATCCTAATCGGTATGCTTTTGTAACTAAGTTTTCTCAATGATGTAATAGTCATTCGAAAATGCACAAGGAAAACTGGTGTAGGACGAGAAAATGGATTGATGGTGTACTTCATTTCACAATTTGGTGATATCCCAGGTAATTTTGGAAATGACGTCAGAGGTATAAGTCCACGAAATGTACCATACTACTTTCTTTTTCTACGACACGTACTAATAGGTCTTCACAGCTTTCTTGATGCTCAGTTTTGCTTTTACAGCGGGAATTTAACTTGCGCTTCAATTCTAATGTTTATCTGTGGATATGACCATAAGAATGACTGATTAAGAATGTTCAGGTTACCTAAATGGGCGATATGGTTAACAAAACTATGAGTTTACTATCCTCCTAAAAGGCTTTCTCCTAAGTTTCTACGATTTAAATTTCTTTGGCTCAGGTAGTCACTGTAATCAGTGTATCAGTCGCGCCACTAATTAACGCATTTATGATATTTTGATATTGTTCATCACCCTAAAACTATGAACCGATGTTCCGGTATAAGGGTATCACTCCCAAATAATAGTACCTATGTTTGGTATCAAAAATCATACCTCCTGAATACTGGTTGACAGTTCCTGGATATCGGATAATATCGTCAATTAGTAGTGCCATTGCAGGCTAATTACAAGTTAGAGCTTGCTCGGGTAGATGGTTTCAGATGATTGGTAAGGAACTGGTCCTGTGAGGTGGTTTCATTGATTCTAGGAGAAATTAATTACTGATTTTGGGATTTCTGTTTCCCGAAGATATAACAACTCATACTCATGAGCTAAACACATCGAAATGACGAGTACAATATCGAAAGGAAATTTGGGAACTAGTGTTGGTTAGAATGGACTTAAAAGGAATTAACTAATAATCTACTTTAGAACAGACTTAAATGGAAGTTGATCTTTCTCCTGAAGATCCAAAATCATCACTTGTGCATTTGAAAAGATTAGTTTTATCAGCGACCAAAAGTGATTGTTCCCATATGTTCTTCTATCGAGTGGTACCACTTTAGCACCAGGTTGTTGCTCAAGACATTTTTGGAATCATGATGAAAGTAAATTTCATAGGAATTCTGATAGATGGTATGCTAACAGATACTGCCAAGGAATCAAAACTATTCTTGGTTTCCTAACTCAAAAGGGTTGTTAAAGATGACGAGATAATAGTAATGGAATTGATGGGAAATTTTCCCAGTGGTGCACAACTATTGATATATTAGCCTTGCTTCAAGGCCTTCAACTTTTACCAAATCGGGACTTTTCTTGGCAGCGAGGTTCTTTGTTTGAAATCTAGAGGCAGTCGCCAATATGTTCTTTTAGAACGTCGATAAGTTGACCAAGTCACTAAAAACTTCAAAAAAGTGAACACATTTTTCGTGCTTAATGAGGTGGCAAGATTCGAAAATTAGGCTCAAGAACCAACAATGCTTACATCACGCGTGTGATGAATGCAATACTGCCCAAACTTATGCTCTGATACCAAACTGACACACCCCAACCTGGAATGTTCGCTTGGACTATGAATCAAGTTGTGCTGACCGACACTTGGAGGGTGACGAAGCCATAAAGTGTAGTGGTGTAGAACATGTGAGTAAATATAAACCTAAAAGTGCCTGTAAGTAAGAGTACGCTACTGAGCGGGAATGAACCCAATTCACACGTGATGTTAGAGCATAAGTAAAGTACAGTAAAGTAGAATGAGAATTATACCATCAAAGGTAACCACCTATACCAAAGATTTGTCAAAAATCCTCGTTAACATGAAAGCTCAACACTACAACCTGGAAGGGCGAAAAACAAGGGTGAGTGGGCCTAAAAATAAAGTTTTATAAAAAACCTTTTTCAAAACATTATAACCCCTCACCATAAAACAATTATAGTCTCCAAAATATACGTACTACGTATAGTATGAAATACTTACCGTAGCCTGCAATATCTCAAGACTTCAATATGTCACAAATTTGTAAATAAGCATATAACTTCTAGTAATCACAATATCTTGCAGAAATAAATATACCACATCCAGTGCTCATCGACATATGCTGACACATGAGTTCATGCAGAGGTATTCTAACATGAACATGACTGGGTGTAATAATGATTTACGCTCTAGTACTACAATCACATGAAGCTGGCACTGCACGCATCACATACGAGTCCTAATTGCCTATAACAATCTAGAACAGGACTGGCACCCACAATGAATCCAAAGTGAGCATACGGTGCGATGTGAACATACATATGAAAGATTGGCCCTGGCCCGGGCGAGTGCTAACACAGGTGCAGCAACGATGAGCAGATAACACAAATATGATAATGCAATGGTAAATCCATAATTCGATAATTCAATAACCCTAGTCAATGAAATACTATTCATAATCGTAAATACCATTAAAGCATTCATACTAGTATGCATACCTGTTCATAATCGTAAATATCACAATAACAACATCATTGACCTTTCCAACTTCTCAAGCCCATTGTATTAATTCCTCTCTATTCTTAAATAACTATGTCCCAAAATTTCACATATAAATAAACATACAAGAGTATAAATAAATCAATTACGTAGTCAAGTAAAATCATACCTTATTTGTGGTAAATTCACTAGTAGAGTTCACTATATGTTAGATGCTAAATTGTTTGCAGATTCATCTACCTGCAAATAACAATTTGCACGAGCTTCTTCAGAGTGGAGAGACAGCTCAGAAGTACATGCAAGGATCCAGAAGCAAGAGAATTGAAAGTTAGATCCTCCTCCAAACTACGTGCAAGGACGTGGTGTTTCAACTGGCTCTCGTGCCCGGTGCTGCAGATTCATTCCAAGTGTTTTAAAATGCACATGTAAAATGAAACAACAAAAAAGGAAGGGATTGTTTGATGTGCTTAAAGATTTTCATGAGCTTTGTGTTTCTCAGCATACGTTGCCATTCATGATTCCAACAAGTAATAAAAATAAGGATATGTTGGCCAAATTCTTTTTGCTGATCTTGAAGTCATAAGTATGGAAATTCAAATGGAAAACCACATAGGTATCCAAATTCAAAAGGACGACAACGAATTCAAATATATGATGCGGCAAATTAAATGACCCACACAAAAATTATTATTTTTTACCTCTTCAATGGAAATATAATCTTTTACCTCTTTCATATAAGCATCATCTTCCACTTCTTCAATGAAAAAGTCATCTTCTAAATCCATTGTGTGTTTCATTTTTTTTTTTTTTTTTTTTTTTTTTTTGAATGAAAGGAGATGGAAAGATGAATTAAGGTTTAAGGTAGACTGAGCATGGAACCCAACTTTTTTTTGACACATGGACAATTTGAAATTAAAAAAATCCAATAAAAGGTGGATAGGAAGATAAGACATTGAAATGAGAATAACATCACTTTTTTTGAAATTCTTGAGAGGCAATTTATGGTATTTTGAATGCTTCAGCGTTTTGGAGCGTTCACTCTATACATATAGATTATATCACTTTTACCTTACATTAGTTTTTATATCTACAACACTTTAAAAATACAGTTTATCAAATGCTAATCTGCTTTATTTTACAAATGATTAGTCTTAACGGACAGCAGAAACAATTTATAAAAAAACACAGCAACCTCAAACCAATCCCTATACGATAAATGCAAATAATTAAAGAATGTTTGTGCGGTTCAATCAACCTTCTCCAATTTACCACGAGCGACTAACCATTGGACTTGCAACAGTATAATGGACGTATGGTGCTTGTCCACTAACAACATATGTATCTTTAAGATTGATATTATGCGTTTACTTACGTAGTCCTTAATTAAATTATAATGCATTATTGTCCTAATTTTTGGATTTGGATCCATCCTCTTTGTGAGAGTTCAAGGAATCTTTCATTCTATCTGTTCACCATACATTGTGCTGTCAGAAATTATTATTACGTTTTTATTTAAAATTAAACACAAACAATACTTAACGAAAGCTGACAGCATAATGTACGATGAACGGATAGGATCCTAAAAAATCCTAATCTTTTGCAGATCAGGTTGGTAGAGTGGTAATTATAACATACATGTAGGCTTATGTCACAAGCCTACATAATTTCGAGGGAGGGAGATTCAAACACGAGACTTCGGGTGCAAGAATAAACGATTTTAAACACTTGAACTACAAGTCATTGTCTTAATCCAGCTATGATTCCATATATAAAAAGCAGAAGAGCATTATGAGAATTTGCAAATTACAAACCTAAGAAGCAACGGCCATAAGGTCCCCCCACAATGGAAATGCCATTTCACACCATTGACCTAGACAGCAAACTCCAAGCAAGGGAAAATAAACATCAATCTTTAAAGAGACAGTTTGATTCCCCAATACACCACATGAAAAAAAGGCCTTATCTCCAACTCCAACCACTTTCTGGAAATGGCATTTGGCCTCCCTGCAGCTACAGAGTGCAAAAAGTTGTATATATGATTTGAACCGAAAATCCCACTATGCTCGTGTAAAGGATACATCGGACATAATGGAAAATCTCGATATAAACTCAAACTCATAACGCACAAACAAAATCACCACTTGTCTCTATATCATCTATTTCAGCGTCGTCTATCTCATCAAGATCCATGCTCCCAAGTAAATGTCCCCCATATTTGGTGCCGTTCACAGCAGGTTTTCTAGCTTCTTGAATTATTGCCAATATTTCTTCATTGCTTTGGGATGATGATTCATAATTGTGGTCATTGTTTGGGAGGCCAATTTCTTCCATGAATTCTACTGGGATGTTTTTTAGAAACCACGGATGCTGCTTTATTTCCGGGATAGTTATTCTCTGCACCAAATACAACGATTGACAATCAACCACGTGTGTATAACGACCACCGTTGTTAGAGAAGCAAAACAAAGGGTATAAAGTATAAAGACTAAAAAAAGTGACAAAGGATTTTCTTTCTAAGCACGGTTGTGAGCCATCTACACATCAACAATTGACAATTATGTCGTGCACAACGATGGCTATTCTAGGCGAATAAAAAAAAGGGCATTAAAGTATAAAGACTCGAACAAAGTTACAGTAGGTTTTCTGTCGTTTTAGGCAGAGTTGTCAGCAGTATGCGTACATCCACGACTGACAATTAACGACATACATACCAGTGATTGTGAGTGCAAGGAATAATACCTTTTCTGGGTTAGCAACGAAGATTCGAGAAAGCAGATGTCTGCACTCCATGGAAACACGTACATAGGCCGGAATTGAATAGTGGACACTAAGAATCCTCTGCAATAAGCCATTATCAAATTATAGTTGTTAGGCAATAACATCGAAAGGCATAGCAATAGGCGAAACAAAAACGGTACAAGTAGCACAAGGATATACATGTACCTGAAGTGTTTTTCTGAAATTTCTTGGATCTTCTGGATCTTCAAAGGGATAAGCACCAACAAGCATGACATACAAGGTAACCCCACATGACCAAACATCCGCAATCTAAGATTCTCAAAGGATAAAAAAATGAGTGAGAAAACATGGATGTTAGTTAGGTGACCAAATAGTTGGTCAAAAATGACGAGGACAAGACCAACAGAAGATGAAAACAAACCAGCCTTAGATAAAACGTTACCTTGCCATCATACCCTTTTCTTGACAGGACTTCCGGTGCAATGTATGCCGGTGTTCCAACAGTTGATTTCGGTTGGGAATGCAACACAGATGACTATAGGATGCAGAAGAAAAGTAATTACCATATGAAATAGAAATTCACTATACGAATTGCAGTCAATTAACTGGTAAATTGCCTTGGAATAACCAAAGTCGCAAATTTTGAGACGCGGGGCTGAGCTTCCATCCAGAAGAGTGTTCTCCAATTTAAGATCTCTGTGGCAAATTTGCTGCAAGACAAGAAAAAAAATAATATCATAAGCTGGAAGAATCACAAATCATATCATGATTTTTGGTGGGTTGAGGGTTTTACCATTGAATGACAATAGCTGACTCCTGATATGAGCTGTTGAAAGAAATATCTTGCTTCGTCCTCACTGAATCGACCAGCATTGCATATTCTTTCGAAAAGTTCACCTCCAGCTGCATATTCCATCACAATTGCTAAATCGTTTGGTGTCAACAACACCTGCAAAAATTAATTGATAATTAGTAAACAAATCAAAATACGTACAGATTAGAAAATTCCCATTTGCTTTCAAACATGCTGAACCCTAGAAATTAATAACAAATAGTTACGCAGAGGAATTGAAAGGAAAAAAAGGTGATAAATAAGCACGAATATTTACTTTAAATCAAGTGGAATTAAAAGTTAAAGACAAAAAGTAGTCTGATTATTCTCTAATAATTTTTCAAGCTGCACACACCACCAACATAACTTGCAAGTTGCAATTAACCATTTATTCCCACCGCAGAGGTTAATTCCAATACAATTTCACAAATAAGAAATTAACATACCTCTTTAAATCTTATTATATTTGGATGCTTCAAGGACCTGTGGTTCATAATCTCCCTCTGTACATGCTCATCAATCTATAAAACACACACAAACCCAGTTGGATTTAACACAAACCAAGTTCATAAAAACGAACAAACTGATAAAATCCCACCTGGGAAAACAAAGACACTGATTAAAACTTGAAAAAAATAGTTGAAATATGCAGAAAATTAATGAATAATTAATCACCTTCTGGCCTCTCTCAATAAACTTGATGGCAAAGCGCTCGCCACTCCATTTGTCCTTCACCAGCTTCGCAACCCCAAAATTCCCAGACCCAATATCCTTCTCTATCTCATACCTTTCCATTGCTTTCTCTCTCTAAACTCTCTCTTTCTCTCTCTTAAATCGTCTGTAAATTCACTTCTCGTCGTGGAATTAACAAAAGAACCAGAATCTCCACGTGTCAATTAGGCAGTGGTCGTGACCTCCAGCAGACCTAAGCAAGTTGTGACCGACCACTACCCATATACGTTGGGTTTTGTACTCGCGGTTACAACTTTACGACGTGTCGTTTTGAGAATGTTGTTGGCAGCTGTTGGTTTAAACTTGGCGGGTAAAAGTTTTGGCTACCCTCAGCAAGTGGCACAAGTATCTTTCGGGGTTTACGAGGAGAGAGGATAAGTTATCGGGAAGGAAGAGTGTGGGACCAAAAGATGACGTGGACGGTGGAGGTAGAAGGGTAGTGAGATTGTGGTGTGCAAATTTGATGGCCGGGACCACACACATTATAATGCGGTGTGGCTTTCTCCTCTCATCTATCTTGGGATTTGGAATTTGGAATTTGGAATTTGGAACGAATAAGCAACCGGATTGGTTGGCATTTTGCATACACTAAAAAGTTGGTTTCGTTTTAACCGTTGCTTCATCATAAAGGCAACAGACCCTCCCCATCTAAAGGATCCCCATTTTATTCATAAAAGTAGGAACAAGTTGTAAGACTCAACTATCTGAATTGTTTATTTTTTAAGTTTTCATTTATAGATAATTTTTATAAAAAAAAAAATCAATACAATCCGAAATCATTTGTTTATTTGATTGTCATGATGAAATTACAATGTTTTTTAGGACATAGTGTTTGTCAATTTCTTTAAATTCGATTAGATATCTCAACCGTTTCCAATTTGGCTAATGTTTTGGAATGATGATTTATACAGTGAAACTTGAAAAATAGATAGCTTGGATCGTTCGTTCTATGTGAAGTGAGCCCCACAACTAGTTCTCATTTTTACCAAAAAACAAGGATCCTTTTGGATAAAGGTCCTGAAAGGATAATCACCCCACACTTTGTGCAAATATTTTTCAATGTATCCGAAACACAACACCAATTTCATAATCCAAATGAATAGACGTACACTAAAAAAAATAAAAATAAATAAAAAAACTTATTATCACTTATATTATGACCTCTGTTCTAAAAATTCCCACCTAGACCCCGTCTAGCACTGCCTTGTCCCCACTTAGGCACTAGGCAACTGGCCACCATTCCGATTAATCCCTAGGCATTTGAAAATTAAGAAATGACACATCGACTTGCTTAAGCAGGCTTATTCAGCTTAGAGCCACCTAGGTCATGACTCTCACTTAAACAGAAAATAGATAACTCTCATATTGCAATTTATTTTTTTAATAAATTGTAAAAGACTTGTTAAATACTTCAATGAACACACATTATATGCTTATTCCCCGTGTTTTCATTATGTTCTAAAACTTAATAATCTATATGTATTTCTATTTTACAATTTATATATCCTATTCGCAATTATATATCTTTTAATATAAGCAGACACTTATTTATACAAGTATATAATAAATTTATTTAAATCCGCTTAGGCTCTACCTTGCCGCCTACGCAATAGGCCCTAGTCTGTTGCCCGACTAACTCTTAGCGTCTTTTAGAACCTTGATTATGACACTTGGTAAACCAGCTTGTGCTTCAGTACACTTAAAAATCTCTCCCCTTAGTGAACGAAGAAGTGATTCATTGGATTTAGTTCTACAATTTAGTTGCGCTTTTCATTCTCTAGGACTTGAATCAAGGAATTATGTTTTTCAAGATTAATTAGGGAGTTGGAGTAAGTGATGTATTGCTCTGTTAAAAAATGCAATCCCAGATCACAACTTTGACAGTGTATATATTGCTACTTGTAAATGAATGATTTTCTTGTAAATAACACCAAAGTTTTTTGTTTTAAAAATTTTTAATGCAGGTCTGTGTATGCAGTTAAGTTGAGATAATATATATGTGAGTTATAGTAGACAAATGACTCACTCTGAAATCTTGACACATTGCTCTGGTAGAGCATTTTTTACTATACCAAGGTCATTTACGGAGTGAGCATTTGATTACACTATTAGTGTAGTATATTATATTTGAACCTTATTGCATAACAATTTAGACAACGCCTTTTGATAAAATTAAAATATATATTTAGATTTTTAATAATATAATAATACAATCCTAAAACGTTTGACTGAAATGAACAGAAATGCTCGTACAAGTTTAGAAACACCTCTACAAATGAAAAGGGAGTTTGTAGTTTGTAGCTAGCAGTTTTTTAATGAAAGATTTTATTTAATCTGTCTCTCATTCGTCTGTAACATAAAAAGGATAGCGTACTGTATCTATCTTTTCTTTTGCTTAAAATTGCCTGAGGGAGGGACAACAACATCAACATCTCTCCACACTCCAAAGAACAGCCTAACAAAGTAACTCGAGTTATATAATATTAATTACTTGCAAGTGGTTCTTTACTACAGTGGTGAAAAGGTGTTGAATTCTTGCATGACGCAATGGGTTTGAATCTCATCGGTGACTAATCTAACAAAATCTATTGTTTGACAAAAAAAATATATATATTAACTAGTGGCTGCCCTAATTAATTAATTAATTAAATCCATAATTAGAAGTTTTGTTTTTCACTTTCAGTTTGGAGCAAGTTTAAAAATGTGTCTAAGGTTCAAAAGTAGAAGTTTTTTTTTTTTTTTGGTAGGAAACTTCAGCTGAATCAGCATTCTACCGCATGCATGGTTTAAACTACACGAGGGTTTGAATCCAAAACATGGTAAATTCAGAAAAGACTTTTTTAACAGGGATAATCCACTAATTAAAAATAAGAGTGAACTACTCAAAATGACAGATTTGATAGACATCTATGTAACATGGCACAATGGTGTGGAAGCCAGACCTGTAGTCAAGTGGAGGCTAAAATGCCTTTATAAGTCTTCCCAATCCTCGGAAACTGTGGATAATCGTAACTTGCCACCATTTGTTCCTTTTTTTTTTACAAAAAAAAAAAAAAATGTAACATGGGTCACATCTTTGCGAGAGAATATAGAAGTAACATCTCTAATATAAAAAAAAAAAAAAAAAAAAAAAAGAGATTAATAAATATGAAAAGTAAAATAGTGTTGAATAACTATTTCGAAGTGGTTAGAGAATATGTAGTATATTGACAACCCCTTTTGATTATACCAATTTCGAAGAGGAATTTAGACAACCCTATTAATGTAGTATATTATATTTTTTTACTATACCAAGGTCATTTACGGTGTGTTTTTATTTATTTACACTAAATATTTATTGCATTATTTGTACACATAAAGCATATACGCCTGAAGTTCTTAACAAGTTCGGTCTAGAGCTTCCTGGAATAATGCGAGATCATCCTAGCAAATCACTAGGAATTGATGTGATCGAGAAGCCAATTTACGGGATTAATCACCTTGTGTAAGGATCTAAAGTGTTGTTCAACATCGTAAAGTTGAGAATATTGCGTACGATTATAAGAAGTTGCCAATTAGTTACTTCTTGAGCGAAAAGTAAACTTCCTTCATCTAAACCTTCGATTACTTGGAAGTTGACGGATGTCAGTCAACGATCACTGGCCAATCCAAAAAGGGAAAATGAATAGAAAGAGAGAGAATTGTGAAAACAGCAGTTTACAGCTACGGTGCTGGAGTGAAGCCTGGAGGAATGAACATGCATCTTGTTATTTTGGGAACAATCCACAATCTTATCCCCTCACAAGGCCGTTCTCTCTCCAAACATCAAACACCTGTGTGTGCAGCCATCACTAACCTCTCACTGTTCGACAGTCTGTGATTTCTGATGGTCATTTGATTGGACGCAGGCGAATTGGTAGACCAAAGTGGTTTTGGCGTTTTCACTTTAAAATCATGTATTTTGTTCTTACTTGTTTTCTAGCATAAAAGTTGTCTAAATAATGCACAACAGACAGCTAAATATGAGCATGCAGAGATGTGGAAACTTTCTTTTCAGTTAGCAAAATATAAGGGAGCTGCTGCGGCTGCTGCTGCTGCAGGTATCCCTATCAAGGAAGAAGAAAGAAACCATTTAGGTGAAGGCATCTGTCCCATGATTTAGAATGATATTTCATGTCATTTGACCACTGAATACATTAAAGAGAGTGATAATCTTGTGTTTTGTGCTGACCAATTACCAAATAATTACAATTGAGATTGTTATTATTATAGCAATTTAGAACCGTGTGAAAAGTTTAGGACTTGTTTTTGGTAATAATTTCGCTTTCCACTTCTTTTTTGCGAATCTATATATAAAACCAATAGGAAAAGTGAATAGTGGTTTTGGACGTGTTACCAAGTTTCAACAAAAATATTTGGATAAAAATGCTCCCAAGATAAAAAATATTCAAAGGCATCCCAAAATAATGTATCAAATAAGACAGGGATATTTTTGTCATTTTAATAGTATTTTGTTTAATAATTAATTTTTTGTGTTTTTTTTTAATTAGTAACTCACAATAGGCTAGCAATAATATGATTCAATTTCTCTATTTTTAAGCACGTTCAAAACATCTTAAGAGGCGTGTAATGTCAGTTATAAAAAAGGTCATTCACATGCGGATAGTAATGTGATTAAATTAGTTCTCAAATGATTGTTTTTTTTAACAAACGATGTTATCTACACTAAGAGGGAGAGGTGGGCTTAGCCTCATAATGGGCTAGCAATAATGTGATTCAATCAGTTGTTTTTTAAATATTATTTTCACTATTTTAAATGACACACCCCGACCGAGATCAGGGCGTGCTGGCCGTCACGCGGAAGTGACGTAGCCATGTGCACGGTGCGGAAGCTAGTAAAGTAATAATATAAAAGTACGAGTAATTAAAAACTAGCATACAAGGTCAAAGTAAGTGTGCTAGCGTAAGTGAGACGCTAAGTTCAGAGCAATAAGTCTACAGCAGTCCAAATTAAAATGATGCGACAACAGTGCACCCGAAGGTGACCCTACATTAGTGAGCGTCTGTCAGAAATGCCTGGAAGCCCTCTGGGGAAACCACCGAACCTGCTAAGCAACTAGAACCTGGAGGGGCGCAAAACAAAAGCGTG